GGCAGGGCAAAGGCGGCCCCAGGGCCGCTTGTGCCCTGCCCCCCAGTTCTTAGATCCCCCCTGGGTTTCTGATCACTGTCAATGGCAGGGGGCTTCTTCCTGCTTTCCCTTCGCCTCCCTGTATTGTGCCTACATATGCAAATTAACTGCCATCTTGTTGGCAGTTAACTGCCAATCTTAGTTGGCAGTTAATTTGCATATAACCCTGATTAGCCAATGAAAAGGGTATCGTCGTACGCCAATTACCATTTTTCTCTTTTATTAGTGTAGATAGTGTCCCTTTAAAGGGTACCATGGTCAGACAACTGGTATCTTGGCCCCTGGACAGAGGGAGGGCAAGGCTCTCCTCTAGGTAGTATTGGGCCTTCTTGGGGTCCTGAGTGATTGCCCTGTCCCCCCTTGCCCCCGGTTCCCAGGCATTGTGGAGGACTATAAGCCACCCTTCTATGACGTGGTGCCCAATGATCCCAGCTTTGAGGACATGAAGAAGGTAGTGTGTGTTGACCAGCAGACCCCCACCATCCACAACAGGCTGGCTGCAGATCCGGTGAGGACCGGTGGGGCTGGGGTGGCGTGGGGTGGCGGCTCACAGCTGGAATTTCTGGGCCCAGGAACTTGTGTTTGAGGCCTCGGCTTCCCCGGGATAGATTCTAGGGGCAGATCCCAGGGTCCTCCCTGGCCGCACCCTCCATCTCTCCGGCCCGTGCACCCCAGAGGGACTCTAGTTATTCTGGATTTTCAGAACCTTCACCTTGCTGGGGAAATCAGAGGTTCTCTGCTACATTTCTTACTATGAAGTTTTTGCTGTTTGTTTTCATCTTTTCTCAAAATACTTCCCATACCTTTGTAATACACATACTCACTTGTATATAATCATATATAGGCACGCACAGGCTTCTACTTAAATATTCACTCACAGATACATACACGTGCAAGTATGTGCCAGAATGCTGACCCTGTGAAGACAAAGAGCATGTCTCCTTTGTAACCCTTATCTCCCCATTACCTATGACAATGCCTGGCCCACAGCTGGTGCTCAGTGAATGTTTATTAAAAGAATGAATAAATGTACACACATACATACATGTATGTATACATAGACACATGTACATTTTTATACAGCATACATATCCACAAAAGGCCACACATGCATTCAGATGTACACACGCATACAATCCCTCTTAAGAACCAGCTTGAGAGGGTTAAATCTGAGCTTCCTGGGTGGGTTCCTCCCTGGACATGTGCACTTTGGGGGCAGTGCTCACCACCCATTCTTCCAGTGTTCACTGGGCCCAGCCAGCGTTGGTAGGGCTGGGAGACACAGCCCTCAGCACTGGGGTCTGATTGGGGGTGCAGGAGCCCCAAGACTGACATATCTCCCCTTTCTTGGGTCTCAGTGGCAGTAGAGGGTGGGGGAAGGTGCTCCACAGACCCTACTTGCCAAGGGGGACTTGAGTGCTCCTGAAGATCTGAGTTACATCTCCGTCCTGCCTTTCTTTCTCCATTTTCATCCCATTCTTCCTCTTCCATTTTTCATCTTATTCTTTTCGTCCCTGCCTGGATCCCTCCGTCCCCCCTTACCGCTCCTGTCTTTCCTTCCGCCTCCTTCTCACACTCTCATCACCCCTCTTCTTGTCCTCTGTCTCCCCATTATGGGGTCATTCTCCTCGCCTCCTTTCCATCTTCCCTGACCCATGTTTCTGCTTCTCTCCCCTGCCTTTCTCTCCCTCCTCCCAGGTCCTCTCAGGGGTGGCTCAGATGATTCGGGAGTGCTGGTATCCCAACCCCTCCGCCCGCCTCACTGCTCTGCGGATCAAGAAGACACTACAGAAACTCAGCAATAGCTTCGAGAAGCCCAAAGTGATCGACTAGCCACAGGCTGACACTTGACTCCCCTCAGCCTGCAGTGTGTGGGGGTGGGCGGTAAATGGTGGTCTGTCTGGGTGGAGGCAGTGTGTGTGTGCTGGAGAGGGGGTGCCCCTCTAGGGGCAGCTGTGCCTGCCCAGCTCTGCCCCCAACCCATCCAGCCAAAAATACAGCTGGGCTGAAACCCGATCTCCCCACTGTCTGGCCTGCTCGGAGCAGCAGGCTCCCTGACGCCTGGCTCTGTCCCCACCTCCATGCCCTGGGCGCACTCCCTACCACCCAGGACAGAGTGCAAAGGAGGCCCCAGTGCCAGGATGGCCAAGCCAGGGAATCCCAGTCTCTTGGGCCCAGAGCCTGGTCCTGCACTTTACTCCCTGCCCTCGGTCAACCCCACTGCCCTACCGGAGCTGCCACGGGGCACAGGGTCCTGCCCAGCCTTCCGTAGACACCCTGTCCTGCCAGGCCCTCGCCTCTGGCCAAGCCCAGACACCCAGGACCCATGAGTTTGTATCTCAGCTCCATGATACCATGGGCCTCTGTCTCCTGGACAAGACCCCTGCTAGCTGCCTATCAGCTGCTTACCAGCTGCCTGAGAGAGCTGTGGCCCATCCTGGGCCCCTCCCCTACCCCATCCTAGCTGACCTATTGGGGCATTAAAACCAAGGAGCCCTGCTGTGGGTGTGGCAGTGTCATACCCACATTGGAGAAGTGGCAGGTCAGGTGGGTAAGGCCCAGGACTTTCAGAATGACTGAGAGGACACAGAGGCCAAGCATGGCTGGAGAAGGGCCCAGCTGGGAGCCGGAGACCCAGGCTCTGGTCCTGGATGCTTGCTGAATGACAAGAATGAGCCTTCACTGTCCCAGCACCTGGTTCTTCATCTAAGCCAGCCTTAGCCCCCTCTGTGGCTTTGCCTTCTCTACCCAGAGCTGAGAGGGGTGAGGCTGGCTTCCGGCAGGGCTTCCAAGGCTCAGGAGAAATCTGACTTCAGCCAATAAGCCTCTAGCACCCAGGCTCCTGCTCCCACTGCCCCTTGGCCCAGACCCACACCCTGGGCCACACCCCAGAAAGTGTGTGCCTAGAAAGAACCTGATGGTTGTAGAGAAACACAGGGAAACTTTGGCGTTTGGAAATCAAGGGTGTGTGTCCCTGCACTGAGGAGGTTACCCTAGGCAGGTGGATGGGCTGGGGGGGTGGGGGGGGACACTCTAGGGACAAGGACAGCCCCAAATTTGGGAAGACCTGAGCTCACAGCCCCCAGCCCTTGGGAAACAGCCTCCTGATGTAAATGACCCAGCACAACCTCCCAGGCCAGCCCCTTCCACCATCACCCAGGGCACTTTCCCAGGCCTGCTCCCAGCATTGTGCAAGCTCCTGGGGGAGAACGAGGAAGTGAAACTGGGTGAAAACAGAAAGCTAGATGGACCTGCTGGGTTCCCAGATCATCACGGGGCAGCTTGCTTCGTGTCTCCTCGTCGCTGGAACCCACCCCGCCCGGGAATCAGTCCTGCCCTGAAGGTTCTCTCTCATGAATTTAGGGGCCCAAAGGCGCCTTCGGAGACTCCGCAGCCGGAAACCGAAGGCAGCAGCTCCTCAAAGCCTAGAAAATCCCTAAGAGGAGAAGGTCTGAGACAGGAGGTGGAGTGACAGGGGGAGGGTTGAGAAAAGGGGGCCAGGCAGGGAAGTGGGCACTGGTGAGCTGTCTGCATAATGCTTCTGCCTGAGGGCAGGAAGGTGGGCCAGGTCAAAATTAGTCTCTTACCTGGAGACACTGTTTGTGAGAGCACTTAGCTGGTGCTTAGCACATAGTAGGTCCTCAATAAAACCGTGGTTGAATCCTGAGCTCCAGCGGAGTCTTCCTAGGCCAGTGCTTCTGCAGTGGCCCGTCTCAGAGGGAACCTGAAGGGAAGGGGAGGGAGAAGGCCCCAGGGTATCATGCCCGGAACTTAGCCCTTAATTGGCAGCTCATAAATCGCTCAGGCACCCCACGCCCACCCCACCCGTGCAGGGCCCAAATTTCTGTTCAAATGCTGGGCTCGGTTCAGGCTGCTGGCGGCGCCGGCCACACCGCCCTCTGCTGGCCGCAGGGCTGCCCAGCGGCCGCCGCCCTCCCGCCCCAGCACGGATCCGGATCGGCGGGCTTTTCCCGGGGATCTCCTCGCCCCGCCCCGGCGCCGGCGGGGGTGAGCTCCCGGTGCTAGGGTTGTGCAGGTACTGTCCCCTGAAAACCACACCTCGAAGGAGCTTTCCGTGTCCTCACTCAGAGGCAGCTTGGACCTGCCTGCCTGAATTCTCTGTTTTCAATTCCCTCTTCAAATGGGGTCTCCACCTTGCCTGGAATGTACAGAAAGGGCACCCCAATTCCCTTTACCACGGAGGTCCTCCCCTACTCCCTGCAGCCCCCCCCCCCAATTGGGCCTCGTGCCTGGAGCATGTGTATGTGGAGTCCAAACAACATACAGTGCGTACCCTGCTTCCTAGGGCACCTCTCAGACCGGCTCTGGGGAAGTGAGGGTATTCCTGGCATCCGACTAGGGCAGCCTTTCTCCCCCACCCCGTGGTGCCACACCCTGATGTCCGCACTGGTGGCAGAGTGGGAAGAAAGGCAGGAGGAAGCTGCAGAAAAGGACTTACCAGAAGTCTGGCTGGGATCTGGGGAAGGAGAATTGGCTCATCGCCCTCCAAGGTTAGAAGAGTTCTTGGGGGGTCACCTGTCTGAGCCCCGTCTCTGAGTGGAGCCTCAGGGAACCTGTCTGCCTTTGAAAGAAAGAAAACCGTTCATTTCTTTGCAGTTTTGCCCTGTTTTCCTGGGAGTCCCAGGTTCCAAGGTTCTCACCTCTACAAAGAGGGAGGGGATGACCTGTGGGGACCCTCCCTAAGGGATGAGTGTCTGTAACATGCCCAAGTGGGGGTGATGGTGGTCTCTGGAGCATGAGCTTTGACTTTGGGGAACACCCCCGCCCCCTTGCAGTACCCAGGCCCTCAAGGTCACTTTCTCCCTCAGTCCTGCCTCACATCAGCCTTCAAGAAGCAAGTTCTGCTTCCCCCATATCCTTACTCGAATCAAGATGATCAAACCCAGAGATGGCAAAGGCCTTGTATCTAAAAGACCGAGCCCTGGGAGGGGAGTGGCGGGTGCATGTCCCAAGTCCAGTCTCCCCGGGCGGGACTGATGCTAGCTGCACAGTCGTCACTGGGTGGGCGACTCTTGGAAGAGGCTGCTTCCATCGGGGCCACATTCAGTTTGCTAGAAATAGAGACAGAGGGTTTCTCGACTTTGCATATGATTTGCATAATGTCGTAGACACAGTCTATTTTCAGGCAGTTTTCAGGTTAAAGTGTGTCCCTGCTGCCCTGCAGGGTGTCACGTCTGGATGAGTCTCTTCTCTGTTCTTTCTCACCCACCCACTCTTACTGACCTAGATCCCCCGCTGCAGGAGCAAGTGGTAGGGTGGGGGGAGAGTGGGGTGTCCAGGGAGACACGGGGACAGGGCAAGAGGCACACTGGAATTTCCTTTATTACCACCATCACCAAAGGCAGAATGTGGCTGCTCAGGGCAACTGATAGGCAGAGGGCAGCGAGGAGCCAGCCACAAGGTGGCCCACCCTCTGTTCTACACAAACCTTTCCCACCTCTCCTGCTAGGAGAACAGCCAGTTCCCATACAGAGACGTCTAGATAAACCTGTTCCTGTCCGCCACCCATAAGGCTTTGCTTGGCCCAGACATCCCTCGTGGGCATTTATTTTCAGCACTAAGATTTGACTTTAATCTCATGGGAAATCTGACCCCTAGTCCCTCCCTCTCCTGGGAGCCCCATCTAGAAGACCAGTATCCTAACCGGACGATCAATGTTTGCAAAGCACCTTGACACACAGTAGGAGGTCAACCAATGCTAGGGCCCCCTGCTCCCCTTCATTCAGAAGTCTGTGCCAAGCCCCTGATTGTCCCCGGCCTGGATGCCCAGCACAGGCACCCTCCTCTGAGGGCTCGAGGCAAACACACTAGGAGGGCCAGTGGGTGACTGCCACTAAGTCGTCTGAGAACTTGTCACAGCACTTGGCCTCTCAGCTAGAAAAGAGGGGGTTTGGTGGATTTTAGGGGCAAGGGCAATGCTCATGTCATAGCTTGAGCTGTTTGACGACCTGTCCTTGGCCCCAGAGGGCGAGGCCTGGAGCCCCACCCAGGGCTCCCTTCAGCCTCGGGGCCTGTCTGGTGTGCCATCTTCCTAATGATTCACCAGGTGCCTCAGCAAAAAGCCTGGGAGCCATACTGGGTCCTGGGAAGCAGAAGGCTACTTGGTCAGGCTGGACACCAGCAATGCATTACCCAGAATTCCCGGTCCCTGGCGTCCAGTCCCCCTGGACCTGCCTCATCCCCTTAGGCAGGCGTTTCCTGTTGATAAGAAGCTCAGTCACAAACACTGATAAAGAGATGAAAAAAGGAAATTGACGGGCTTGGGGTATAATGGGCATTTTGTCTGCCTTTACTACCCTCTTCCTTCTCCCAGCTCCCCTCCCCCACTGCTTCCCAGAACCCAGGAGAAAACATGTCCCCCACCTCCTTTTGGGCCCTACTTCGTAGTTTCCAGGAATTTAGCCTCACACAGTCCTTAGAAGTAGGGCCCGGGGGCGGGGGGCGGGGGGGCGAGTTAGGAGCTCAGAGGCAGGAAGCCCTGGGCGCTATGAGGCCACCAGGCCCAGGGGAAAGGGCTGTGGCAAGAGGAAGGAAGAATGGTCAGGCACAGGTTTCATCTACCCCTTTCCGTCTCCCCTCCCTCTCTCTCCCCCAGGGACCTGGGTCCAAGTCGTGGTTAGGTGGTTGCCGTCTATAATTAGTGAATTTTCCATAATTTTAGTCTCAGGCTCCTTACTGGAAAATCTCATTAATTTCGACTCTACTAATTTGGATCTATGATCCTTTAGGACAAGAACTGGACTGATGTTTAGAAAAATAAAGAAAATAAACAAGTTTGCAAAGCATGTCGGGCTTTCCTTCTTGGGTTTGGACTTGTAAGCTCAGCTCCACGGTTCTCAAGCGCTCGGCCTGCAGTTACAATAACCTGCCACCGGGTGTGTGATGAGGCCTCGCCTGACACTTGTGCTGCAGGTACAGTAGTCATTGCTCACGGAGAGGTTCTTTAAAGGATTATAGTTGATACTCCTTTTTCCCTCTTCCTCCAAATTAGTCCCTCAATACAACAGTTTTGCACACAGAAAGAAGTGGAATAGATGGTTCTAAATGGCCATTGTTTAGAAGGAAACCAGTAGCCCTATACAAGTTGGAGACTTTCTCCTGAATTCGTTTTTTATATATAATCTAGAGGCCTGATGCCCGGATTCGTGCACTGGCAGGGTCCCTCGGCCTGGCTTGTGGACATCCCCCAAGGGGTCCCAGATTGCAAGAGGGCACAAGCAGGCCGAGGGACCCCACTGGTGCACGATCGGGCCAGGGAAGGATTGCAGGAGGGTTCCAGGGCGTGTCTGGTAAACATCAATGAGAAAGAAACACCAATCAGCTGCTTCATGCTGGGGATTGAGCCCGAAAGCAAGGTACATGCCCTTGACCGGAATCGAACCCAGGACCCTTCAGGCCACAGGCCAACACTCTATCTACTGAGCCAAACTGTCAGGGCATGAACTCTTAACTGTTCTCAGTCCTGGTTGCCACCTGACTGGCCTTTCTCCTGGCTTCAGGCCCTCATCTCTGCCATGGCGCTGCTCACACCTGATGGAAGGAGCCGAGTAGTGAAGAGACAAAGGTTTCGTCCTAGTCAAGGTTCCACGCGAGGTTTTTGGTGGGGTTTTTTTTAGTAATTCAATAGATTTATTCTAAATTTTATATAGAGGAATATAAATTCATGAGGAACTAAGCCATTTTTTCCTTATTTTAGGTTACTTTTTGAATAAGTTATATACTCACATGATTCAAAAATAAATGACTCAAAGGCAGACAATGAAACCCCTTCCTCCCAGCCTTGTCTCCCACCTGCCCAGGTTCCCTAACCCCCCCAAAACCATTAGTCTTAGTTTCTTATGTTTCTGTCCCTTCAGACTGTCTTTATGTGTATATAAGTGAATTTGAATATGGAGCCTTGTCCCTCCCACCTTTTATATACAAGTAGTCTATAGGCCGCACCAGGGGTCCTCAAACTACAGCCCCGCGGGCCACATGCAAATACAAATGTTGTATTTGGTCCCGTTTTGTCTTTTTACTTCAAAATAAGATATGTGCAGTGTGCATAGGAATTTGTTCATAGTTTTTTTTTAAACTATAGTCCGGCCCTCTAACGACCTGAGGGACAGTGAACTGGCCCCCTGTTTAAAAAGTTTGAGGACCCCTGGTCTACACTATTCTACACCTTACATTTTTCACTTACTGTGTATCTTGAAGATCTTTCCATATCAGCAGATAGAACGTTCTTTCTTTTAAACAACAACATAGTATTCTACTTAATGTACCATAATTAAACCAGTCCCCTATTTTTGGAAGTTTTCAATTTTTGGCTATTAGAAATAATGCTGCAATGACTAAACATGTATGTACATAGTTCTGCTTAGTTCAAGGGTATCTGTACGAAAATAATGCTGCAATGACTAAACATGTATGTACCTAGTTCTGCTTAGTTCAAGGGTATCTGACGATAACTTTTAAAAAGTGGAATTCTGGGGTCTATCCACTGAGCCAAACCGGTTTCGGCTGTACGATAACTTTTAAAAAGTGGAATTCTGAGGTCAAAGGGTATGTGAATTTGGCCAAGTTCATTTTGAAGGAGCGAAAGAGTGAAGCCTTGCCCTAGCAGGTAATAGGACATAAGACAGGCGATAGTAACAGAGGTAGAAT